AACGTGTTCCAGCCTGGGGCAAGGTCTAGAGAGCAACTTAAAAATAAACAAATAGACCCAAAGAGTAGCTTTATTCTTTTATTCAAAGTTTATTAAAATACAAGAATAAATTGTAAAAGCACACATACCACTCAGCACCAATATAATAACACTCTTTCTACTCATAATCTCCAAAACATTTCTATTTCTGCAACTGAGAAGCAGAGATATACACACAAACGTCCTCATCACATTTACCCAGGACTCATAGCATCGCACCCCAAAGATTCTCCTTGCTAGGGAGAGAAAGATGGGGAGAGGCAAACCAATGTGACTGTGTCCAACCACTAACTGAGGCAGTGTCTCTTTCATCAGCAGTTATCATTTGCACACCGGCAGCCTCTTCACATCTCAGTCTCCCTTTTGAGGGCCCGATGATTTGGACTATCAGTAGAGTCCAGGAACATGATGCAAACGAAACAAAACTGGCCAACATCCCCTACCCAACATCTTTTAATTGCTTTGGTTATAAAGTACTAGATACTTATATGTCTCCACATCTCCCCATCCTGATATACATAAACACCTCGCCAGCCAGTGACATGGTCTGGAGAAGTCATGAGAGAAGGTCCTTTTTCTGCCCTCCCTCCTCTTCTGTGGGATTTTTAAATTTATGTGTTTACCTGTTTGTCCTAATTTATTTTATGGGGGGAGGTAAAGGGGGTTGAGCCAAAATAGTGACTTCATTACACATCTGCTAAGTCTTCGAAGTCTCCACAGTAAATATTAAATAAACTCCCCAGAGCCCTGACGCTGCTGCTCAGAATGGGCAGCAAGCCCCGACTTGCATGAGTTGTCTTGTTTGGATATCTGTACATGTTTGCTTTCTATTCGCTCAGACTCACCTTGGAACAGAACTGGGTCTGTTAAGTCTGAGACTTTCCTTCTGGCATCGTCTAGAACCCAGGTCATTAGGAAACGGCCCAAGACTTTGCTCATCTTACATTCACTCAGTGACATTCAGCAGCCCTCCTTCAATGGTGAGAAGTAGCTTTCTGAATCCAGATCAGTAGACCACCTCGGGGTGGTAATCTGTCCCCGTCTGAAACTTCCTGAGTCCCCCCAGACCCTGTCCCCATCTTTCATTAAAGATGGCTTTAAGGCACTGTCAAGAAAGGGCTGCTGAATGGAGGTTGGTCCTTAAAGCCCCATTGTGGACAGACATATGAAGAATAAGTTTATTTTCTACATCTAAAGTAGAAAGTGAAATAGGAAAGGGATTAGTATACAACACTTGAGCTCTGATTTTTGGCAATACCTTTCTTTTAATGCTCCCAGAATTAAAAGCCTGACTGTTGCTCTCCACAGCTAAGAGCCTTAAAAACCCTGAGGCCTGTTCTGAGAAGCTCCAAATATGAGGAGAGGTTTTCATACGATGGAAGGGAAATAATTGCTTTCATTTACCTCTTTGAAATGGCCCTTGGATTTGAATGAAGGGGTTTTTTTTTTTGTTTTTTTTACCCCTTTCTTTCCAAACTTCGGAGATAAGATTAGATAAGTATTCCCCTCTGACAAATTACAAATGGAAATTCCCATACTTTCTTCTCAGGGTGGACTTAGGGAACCTTGGACCTCCCTGGGAATTTTCCCCAAAGCCATACATAGGCACTGCCTTAAATGTTCTCTCTGGCATTTTATATAAGGCAAGTCCTTGTACGACCTCATCATGATTCATAATTTTCATTAACTTTCCTGTCTTCCCTCCATGATGACAGAACAGGCAGCCTCAAATTAGCAGAAGGAGAATTGAACGAGGTCAATTGGTCATTTAGAAATGGGTATTACCAAAAATCAGTAGCACATTCTACAGAGTGACACAGGACTAGAAATTTAAAACATGAATATGACAAGTCATCTAAGTTATATGACTGTCACTTTAACTATACAAAACAAGAGTAGTTACGACTCTGCCTAAATAGCTTCCCACATTTGTGTGTTATTGCTGTGCAGACATTTAATTCATGCCCATTCAAGAAAATCGTTGCTGATTTCATTAATATTTTCTCCAAGCAAATAAAAAGAAAGTTTTGAATAGTTCCTAGATAAAAGTTTTTCAAACATTAAATGTTTGATCACATCCAGGTGCTATGATAATATCTGAAACTGCTTGGAAAATCTAACAATAATAGACAAGCTAATTCAGTGTAAACACAGACTATGAGGGAAAATGTTTAAGAACTAAGAAGTATGTGTGTGTATATAGATATATGTACTTTCTTGCCTTTTGAGAAAAGAAAGCATGCATCAAAGGAATATGCTTTATAAGCAAATGAACAAAAGAAACGTGGGTGGGTATTGACATTCTAATAATTTCTCTGGGTGTACCAGCTCGGCATTGATTTATCTCCTTTCAGATGAGTTCTTGTTAAGTTCATAAAAGATAAATCATAGGAAATCATAAAATTTTATGTTATGATAAATAGGTTATAGATTTATAGACTTATAATCTTAATTACATCAAGACATTTAACATATAGTAAGATTCCTGAGCTCCAACTCACTTTCTCCATTGCCCCCCCCAACACTTTCTTCCAGAAAACCCTTCTCTCTTGTAACAAACTTATTTCTCCCTGATAGTCCATGTCTCTGTGTGCTAACTTTATCTGTTCTATTTCTCCCCTGGAATATTTTCAGGCAGAAATACTTGCTTCCATACAACTAATCGCTCTTCAAACACAGCACAACTGAGTGATCACCTTTTCCATAAGACCAGCACTGCCTTAGCCAAATCTCATCCCCCCACCAGTTTCTCTGACATCCTAGTCCATTATCACACACAAAGAATGAAGAAGTTTAAGGAGAGGGTGTGAGTAGATTGCAACCAATTTTTCGTTGTTTCTCTCTAACATCCTCATAAACCTCAATACCATTTTGAAGATGAAAATCTGTTAGGGGGAGGGCAAATAAGCCTTTAGCTTCACCATGTAGGGATCTGAAACAATCAATTCACATAGGATTTGCCAGTAGTTGATTACACACCAACACACTTTCAAAGTCTGCTTCATGTCTCTGTGGATTCTTTTTAAAGAATTTAAGAACACTGGGAAATTTCAATGTTGCTATTTTTAAAAACTAGTGAAAATCTGCTTTATGATCTTAACAATAAACAAAAATAATATAGGGCTGTTATTGCTCCAATTTTTTTATCAGTCTTAGTTATTTTTGTCTATTGCACATACAATTCATGGAGGTTTGTCATCTCATATTTCAATGAACTAGTTCAGGAATCTGTTTTCAAATTTCTATTCATTTTAGTATTTAATTATTAATGGGTTGGTCCTAAAAAATTTTGTACCCATAAACATAGACTTATGCTGATTTTTTATAGATCCTTGGATTTAAAAAATAAAAATATTCTATGACACAAAATTAGTCTATTCTTTTTCCCTGAGGGTATGATTTTTAAATCTTTTTTTTCTAGGTAAAACCATACTGTTCTTCATTTCAAAGATTATATACATATAAGAGAGAGAGAGAGACTATACACACACACATACCCTGAGATCTAGTAATCTAAGGCTTCTGTGGTAGCTTAATGAGTTACAATTGACTAGAAGACTCTCATAGATACTTTAGATTACTAGACTTCAGATCATGGGCCTGAGGAAGACGCATGCCCAAACCCCAATGTTAAATAATTCCATTGTACCAAATGAAACGCTACAGAGGATTTCATTCCATCAGACACCACCCTCCCCCAGTTACCAGTGGAAATTATCTCAAGCTAGCTTTCTCTTCCTCTCTTTTGCAAATGAAAAATTGCTGCTTGCTTGGACCTATCATCCAGGGTACCCACGCCACACAGTGGATGAGGAAATATACACCTCCCTCAGTTCAACATTCATAGAAAATATTGTTATAGAGACTAAGACCAGGAATGAATGAGGTCACACCACAGCCTTAGGAATGGAGAGAAACAGACCAGCACCACTAAACCTACAGGATTTTGTATTCAGTGTGTATGATGGGGTATAATTAAGCACACCACATACATATTTCAAAAATTGCTTAAAATAAAAACAAATAGTAAAAGGAGTGGGGGTTTTCCCCCTTTCATCACCCCACTCCCTCTTATTTTAAGAGTACATGGTAAACATATTCTCTTTCAATATGTACTCTCTATGCTATTTTGAGTTGAACTTCTTTTCCTGGGCTCAGGTACATTTATGTGTTTCAGTGGCTAACAAATTAGTGCCACATCATTCAATTTCAAGGTGAAATTTCTTAAAAAGCCCCGAAATCTTTGCATCCTCCATCCTAACTTTGAACTTTGATTTATGTCTAGTCCTTTCTCCATCTGCTTAGAAAGGAACCCTCAGGCCTCCAGGTTGAAGGATCATTTTGGTATCTCTAAGTACACTTGTTAATCCTCAGCATTTCTTTTGGCATAGAGAATTGGCATATGAGAAACTTGAACAGCACAAACTACACATGTTAAATAAACACCAAGGTCCTAACCACATGATCTGAGCTCAAGGACTCATTATAAGTAAGATGTGGGGATTTCCCAGTTGGGTTGTATCCATGCTGAATTAAGTCTGGGCAATGTCCTTTACCCAGCACAGATAGTAGCTCTCCTAATGTAGCAGCTATTCAGTTAAGGTGTTTTGTTGTTGTTGTTCTTTCCTTCTTGTCCCAAAGGATTCGTTAGTTGTATCACTTCTTTCTCAAGGCAGAATAAAATACATGCTGAGTCAGGCTTCCTTTCTCTCCATCTAGAGCCCTCTTCACTGGGAAGAAGGTGATGGGGCTGCTGCTAGTAAACAAACACCATTTGAAAGAAGTATTGAGATGTTCTTCTGACATGTAAATTCCTGTCTTTCAGTGATGCAGTGGGTCTTAGTTGAAATAGTGGATTCAGTTCTTAGTTCTTTGCTTTACACACGTACATATATAGATATAGATATATATTAAATAAGAAGCTCTATTCCAATCATACCTTTAGCCAGCTAATCTAGATTTCATCTCTTACTGAAATTCTTCTCTAGCCAACGCCGGACTTCCTGAAGATTATAGTAGAAGGGACCCTTTCCTCCTAGATAAGCAATTTTCTGTCTCTGCACAATGCACACGCGTTCAAAGGCTACGCCATAGGCTACATTGGCATTATTGTCCATGCGGTCAGCCACCACACGACACTGGGGCGGCAAGGAGAAACGCTCCAGGAGTTTGTGGGCTGCTGCGCATCGGTCTTCCTGATTCCTGTGCTTCTTCACCTCAAAAGACAAAGAGGAGTCCCCGGGCACCGCCCAACCATCTGACGGATGAGCTTCATCAATGTAGACCAAGAGGAAATCCGCCACTGATGAGAACTCTTCCACCAGTTTGCTGAAGGCCGGCAGCTGGCTCGTGAAAGGAGGTCAAGTGGCTGAGCCGAAGTTGACCACCAACGGGCGTTCAGGTGTAGCAAAGTCAAGAAGATGGCACTCGGCTCCGTCCGCTGTCTTCTCCTGGGCACCAGGTCCACTATGGCCACCCACTTCAGACTTGGAAACATGCACCACGCTGGAATTAGGAGCATCTTCACCTAATTTCACCTGAGGGGGGTGTGGGGGGGTGGGAATGAAAGAAAGAGAATATTTCATTAGACACATTGCTACCTCAATTCACTCCAAATAAATACTATCAGCTCTAATAAAATGTGGTATTTTCTTCAGAGCATGTGGTAAACATATATTGATTTGAGTAAATAGGTACCCTGACAGCTAATGTAAAGAATGTTCCAAAAGAGAATAAAAGTGTTTTCCATTCTGTATAGCCACTCAAGGTAATTCTTTTCCTCGCTGAAGGCACTGCAGTTAATTCTTTCCATAATTAAGTTGAGGCTGGGATTCTTTACTACCTTGACCTTGCTGTCAATGCTTAGCACACATTATATAACAAATGATTAATTGGCTTCATTTTAAAAGTTAAAAATGAATGGTCCACATTAAGACAAATTACCAGGATCTTGAAATGAAGTGCCTCTTTCTGAATTCCACTTCTGGATTCAAAAATAGTTAGGCAGGATAATCATTTTCTAATACAATCTTAATTCGTTTCATCTTAACCTATGAACAATGATGAAATCTATTCCTGTCTCACCTACTTCACTCATGCTGCCAGGAGGGGACAGTCTCTGGGGAAAAAGACTTTATTCTTGGTAAAATGGAGAGTTGGCATGGAGAAGATCATCTTCAAGGTTAAGGACTGACACAGAGACTGCAGCCATTCAACACAGCAGACATTGTAGGGATGGACAGGATCAGCAAGGGTCCATAGACGGGGTCATATACAGGGTTATCACAAGCTTGAGCCAACTGTATGGCAACTAATAAGAGCAACATCCCTGGATCATAAGAAAGAGAATGTGTCGGGTCTTCCAAGTTCAAAAACGACTCTTACTGAACTTCCTAGCAACTTCAGCTTTCCTATGTGTAAAATAATGACACAATAATTCCTGTCCGTCTTTATACAGCTATTCGTATAGTGTGAGTTACACAGAATTATGTAGGGAGATAATATGGGGGAAATAGTCCTGTACACTGGAAACTAATATTTGGTTTTATCTTGTCATTATTATATGCCACTCACTATATAAAACAGAAAATCATCTTTCTTGAGGAAATCTATGACTTAAAAATTTTTTTTTCCTCAGAGATTTAAGCTCCCCTGTTTACATGTTTTCTCTGGAGACATCTGGTGCTACTGTTTACATTGACAGCTATCAACCCTCACAATTTCCATAAATCAATACATATACACCTACAAGTACTCCCGAATTCTACTTTCATTCTTATGTGTAGTGGTTTTTTTTTGTTTTTTATTTCTCTTTATCTAGAAAGTGACAGTGTTTTTATCTAGAAAAACACTTCTTTTTATGAGATAGGTTTCATTGTTATTGCTGCTAGTTATCAAGTAAAGTTCAGCTCTTTCTTTGAACGCATGTGCACAGAATAAATTGTTCCATAGAATTTTTAGGGTTGTCATCTCCCACTAGCAGATGCCCAAGCTTGTCTTCTGAGGTGCTCCAGGATGAGTTCAAGCTCCCAGCCCTTCAGGTAAAAGTCAGACAACCTTATGCACCACTGAGCGACTCTACCTATTTTATAAAAAACTTCCTATTACTAAATAGAAAGTCCCTCTGAATTCTAAAATACCAGGCACGGGAGGTACAGAAACATTTTCTCCACTGTGCCTCCAGGGTGCATGCTTTAAACAGTTAGCTACAAATTGAAGAAGAGATTGGGGGCATTTGGGTCTGTAAATTGATAACAAAAAGCAGGCAACATAAAAGAGCCAATTACTTCAGCCTGAATTAACACAATTGGATCTTTTTTCTAGAATGGCTTAATCAAAGCCAATAACATTAGGGACAACTTATGGTAGTACAATTGATTTTTATACAATATGCTTAATATTACAAAACACTACCAACTGGATCGACTTATTTCCTCATATAAATACATCCACATGTAACACTGTTGCTAATTGGAGTCACTATAGAAGTGAATTGCTAAAGATTCAACAATCCAAACTGATATAAAACTCTCAAGGGCTTTTATTCAGAAGCTTCTACCAAATGCTAATGCATAACTCCTTTTAACTACAGAAAGAATTAAAGAAGTCTTTTCTCCCCTCTAAAAAAAAATCCTAGCAAGCCTGGCTGGAAACAGGCCTTGGAATCAGTTCCTTTGAGTATGCTTAGCTGCTGAGAATTTGCTTTTTCAACAAATATACTGAATCATAATCTACATGATCTATGGAAACAGAAGAGAGTCAGCTTAAAAAATAAAGATTCTCAGCAAGATGAACTGACATGTAGCTTTAACAGTGGGCTTGCATGTTGGAAATGGTGAGCACGGTGCAGGAAAATGCAAGGTTCAGATCTACTGTTCATAGGGATGCTATGAGTCAGAGTCACCTAAGAGCAACAACAATCTGCAGTTTAACCTGTAGAGCTTGTTGAATTATAAATTCTAATTCAGTATAACTGGGCTGGAAATGCAAATTCTCAGCTGGGAAGGAGGAGTGATGTCAAACCAGAATGAACTGGTTCAACATGCTGATTGGACAAGTGCTTCGAGTTCTCTTGTAGACATGAAAAATTTTCTTTCTTAGAAAAGGAAGCCGCTTCTGTCATTTAAATCGGTATATTACTTTTGGTCAACATTAGGGGTTAAAAACCCCTCATTATTTGAGTTACATTCATTTCCTTTTTTAGTCTCTTTTAAAAATTATTATACTAGTTTATTTACAAAATTTGAATACACTGTTTTCCAGAACAGATTCTTCCAATTTCCCTCACCCCCTCACCCATCAAATTGTACAGCCCCATGATTACTCCCTCGCCCCCTGCACATCCTCATCCCCCTGCATCCCCCACCTCCCAATCCTCATACTCATTATACAATAATAGTTTTAAACAATATTTATCCTTGTGGGACTGAGTTAATTCACTCAGCATAATGCTCTCCAGTCCTTCCCCAGCTAAGTAATCATTTACAAAATCATTGCTACTGCATCTGCGTAGTATTCCATTGTGTGAATGTCCATTTGTTTTCTTGTTTAATTTGGTAGCGACAACACAGAAATCCAATAAAACTGCTCTTACCTGGATTATTTTAGTAAGAGTTACATTGGTATCTTAGGTATTAAAACACATTGAAAGTTTAAAGGTGACATTAAAAAAAATACGATAAACATATTAACACCTGTGATCTCTTGAATGAGTCACAGGCGACTCGACGGCACATAGCAACAGCAACAGCAAAAGCAATGCATTGTCATCATCTTCTCTTTAGTGCTTTCCCACTTTAAACAGCAGTTACAATTCAAGGAGATCTGTTTTAGCACTATTGCTGTGTTTGGGTTTTTTTTTTCTCCAATACACTGTGATATAAAATGTAGATTTGCAATAGATGAGTGATTGAGTGATTTTTGGTTTTTTGGTTGTTGTTGTTGCAACCTCCTCTTATTAAGAAACCCATGCACAGAGAAAAAGAATCCCTGGGCTATAGACTTAAAAGTTCTTGTACGTGAAACCATCTATATTTTTTGAATCACATTTGAGACAATTTTGTGGTCATTTTTCACCTGGGCATTAACTCCTGGACTCTAAAGAGATTATTTTGATCCTCTTACTATATTTGATCCACTGAGCTGAACATTCTAATGTGATGCTCAGTTGCAGGTGACTCTCTTGTTACCTGCAGTTAATTTTCTTGGAAAGTTAAATTACATTGTGCTACCTCTAGGGACAATGCATAATTTAGCAACCAAATTCTTTCCAAAATATAGTGCTTTGCCTTAGGGAGCGCCAGTGGCATAATCTGTAGGGAGCTGCACTGCCAAGCCGAAGGTGGCACCTCTCTGGCAGTTCGAATCTACAAGCAGCTTCAAGGGAGAAAGATAGGCTGTCTGCCACGTGCGACTTACACTGCCTGAAAACCCCACTGGAAGGTCAGCTATGAATCAAAAAATTCAAGACATCTTGTCAGTCTAAGATGTAGACTTTTTTCAAATGCCATAGTCCTCTTTGTATGGGAGCTTTAATGTTTTGTGAAGCTGGAAAATCTTTTAAAATTTGTGTTTTGTTGTTGGGGTTTTTTTCTGTTTTTTTTTTTTTTTTGTTGTTGTTGTTTTTTAATGCACTATTTAATGAATGGCAATTGTTAGAAGCCTAAGTAGGGGCCAGTAAAAAAATTTTACAATTAGTAGTAACTTTGACCTTTAATGAATATCATTCTATTTGGGTGACAGCAAACTTAGCAAGAGCTAAAAATACTTTGAGTCTTAGAACCCTCCTGCCAACTACTACCATCTACCATGATCAACACTCAGTGATTCCAGTCTGTTCCTGATTATCTCCAGTAGGTCAGTGCATAAAAACAAATCAGGTCAAGTCTTTTTTCTTCCTGAGCAGGCGCAGGATCTACTGCTAACTGGAATGTCATAAATTAGCATTCTTATTTAGGAAAGTGACCAGGTAAGAAAAAATACACATGTATGCTATTAATATGACTAATATAATATTAATATAAGAGCACATGCACACACCCCCACATAAATCATAAACTGACACGTGAACAGAGCAGTTGTCAGTTTTTATAAGCATTATCTACCAAAACTACCAGTAAACTTGTCATTTACTCAATCCTGACACATCATGACCCAATAGGAAAGACTAGAACTAACTAGATGGTGGTGGTTGTTCTTGTGTGCCATCGAGTCAGAACTGAGCCATAGCTGACCCTCCAGTGGGTTTTCAGTGGCAGTAAATCACATCCGAGGAGATGGTGCCCATCTTTCTTCCAGGGAACATTTGAGGAATTCAAACCATTTGCCTTTGGGATTGCAGTGCAGCTTCTTACCACTAGACCATCGGAGTCCCCTAGAACTGCTTATAAGGTTTCCAAAACAGGAAGTCTGGTGGCGTAGAAGGTTATGTACTTCAAGGTCAGCAGTGTTGAATCCACCAGACACTCTGCAGGTGAAACATGAGCAGACTGCTCCTGTTAAGATTTACAGCCTCGGAAACCTGATGGAGGGTTGTCAC